CACCGGCTCCCTGGTACCCCCCTGGTAGGAAATTTCCCTGCCCCCTGGAGACCCATGACCATGAGATGGCAGAGTGCCTGGAGTGGTTAACAATGAGTCCTAATGAGCGGTGGAATAACACAAAGGTACGACGTATATGCTATTGTTGCTTACGTCCTAAGGCAGTATGCAATGAAAAAAGGTGTAAGTTCAGTAAAGAAGTAAATGAATTGATAACTTGCCAAGGTTGTGTAACATATGCAGCTTCTCAGGGTTGGGCACCTTTCAGTATTTTTATGTGTCGGAAGCCTCAACATGCAAAGGTCAGAGCTTATTACTCAGATATAAAGAAAACCTTAGATAAATATTTGGGAAAAATTTCCACAAATATCAATGAGTCAAATTTAAAGGTTTTGGCAAACTTAGCCTGGCAAGTGCATGCTGCAGCTCATGTAACCCGTAGGGGTCTTGATGGGAGCTCAGGAATCCAGGAACCTGTAGGTAGATCAGTTCCTTGTATTAATACTAGCTCAGGGGAAAGGGTTTTTCCAAAAGAAAAACTGATAAAATCTGAAAGTGCTCAGCATGCTCATTACCTTATGCAAATTTTACAAATAGGGGAATCCCAGATTCTAGCATTTTTTGATTCAGGGGCTAATTCCCATTTAATTAGCGGAGAGGTTACGTTACCAGAGAACCTGGAGAAATACTCGGATACTCCAACCAGGATCACTGTAGTGGGAGGAGGTACAGTCTGCTCCGAGTATGGTAGTTTCAACTTCTGCCTCGGCCCGGATCAGGAGAATAGGTTTCATGAACTCCGATGCATAGGAATGGAAGATCTCACTTCAGACTTCAGGAAATATGATCTCAAGGATATTAAAAATGAGTATAATTTATCCTTAGAAAAAGCTAGCCCTATGGAACCCTTGCCTGAGTATGTGGGAGGGAGCAAGGTTCAATTATTAATCGGAATTAAGAATTCCCATCTAATGCCGGTTCTAATTAAAACCTTAGACTCGGGAGTTGGGGTTTATAAAAGTCCATTTAAAGATATTTTTGGATCTCGGAACATATTTGCCGGCCCGCATGCTTCCTTCACAAGGGGGAATAGAGGTATTAGGGATGAAGTGTCTCATGCAGTATTCCATATATATCAACGGAAGGAGGAGATTGCTGCTGGAACTCAGATCCCTCATCTTCTGATCGGAGACAAGAGAACCGGAGCAGGAGTGCATCCTACCCCCCTGAGCAGGACGGATTTTAGTCAACTAGGAGCTGATCCAGGACCTGAACCGAGACTGGGAAGTTCTCAGGCTCACTTCACAGGATTGGAGGCTCATGTGTGTAGAGTCAAAGGTGACCAAATCCCTATTGCAAGGATGAGAGAGCTGATAAACCAGGATGATCCGGAAGGTTTGATCTCATTCAGGTGTTCTTCATGTGCAGCATGTATTACTTGCAGGAAATTGCCAAGAAAGAAAATTTCCCAAATGCCTGGGTATCTGGGAAATTTCCCAAATGCCTGGGTATCTGGGAAATTTCCCAAATGCCTAGGTTTTTGGGAAATTTCCTATTTAAAAAAAAAATGTAAATGCTGTCGTGTCATGGAGTTAAACTATTTTTTACATATTTATTTAAATTTCAAATTTTTTAACAATATTCTTTGAATAGTTATATGACAGCAGATGTAGATATTTTGACATTTCAATTTTCCTTGTTCTTCTTTTCTTTTTTTGCTCTTTTTTCATACATCATACAGCAATATTTTGGTGAATTTTGAGAAGAAAAAAAATTAGATATCCTCGCAGGTTGCCAGCTGAAAGTTTTATCTGTATGAACTTTCTGAACTTGGGGGCAGGGGGGGAGGTGAGAATGAGCAATCCCCTCTCCTCTCCCCTAGCATTGCTTGCACATGTTTTGTTTGCATGTGTTGTTTGACTTGGCTACTACACACTTTCTAGATCATTTTACTTCAGGTAGAATAAATTGAGAGGGGGGGGCATTGCCCACCGTATCTAATGTTTGTCTTCATTAGATATTGGCAAAAAAAGTGTAAAGCTTAGCATCCCAAGCACTTTTAACTTTCCTGTTCAATTTTCCTCTTTCTTATTATTTCTATGTTTTAAGGCTTCTTCAATTAGTTCTTGTGACATTGAGTTGGGGAGCAGGTAGGAGAGAAATAAGGAGGTTTGTACGAGGAAGGATTTATGGGATTGCTCCCTGTGTCCCTTCGTGTTATAGTCTTTCCAAGTTAAGGGGAATTTTAAGGAAACACATAGCTGCAACCCTTACAGAAAATGGTGAGTTGAAAGCCTTAAAGCCTCATCAGGAGGAATCTTCTACAGCAGTCCAGTCCTCACAGCTGGTCAAGTAAAAAACTGGTATCGTTGTGCATGTCTTGTATACCTATCAGGGGTCGTACTCCTTCTTTCAGCTGAACCAGGCTGAAGATGCAGTTCCCTCCTATATTACACTAGCTACTCCCCAGTAGGATTTGACATGGGCAACTAAACGCAGCGCTCCCACAGGGACTGCCAAGAGAGAGGTCCGTGCTCTTCCAAGGGTGGTAAGCAACTGTTGAGTTAAGCTATAATTAAATGTATTACAGAAAAAGTTTGAATCACGCTTTATAAATAGCCAATACTTATTTTTAACACAGGAAAAGTAAAGGATGTAAATGCCAGTCATTATCAAGGAAAGCTCAAGCATAAAAATCTTCAGTTAACCCAAAACTAAAATTCAAAATAAACTCCCCTGTAAGCTTAAGGATGAGTCAAACTGCTAACAGCTTTTTCTAAACCTGGCCAAATTTAAAGATAATTTCAATTTGTCTCCATGTTACTGTTTGCTGTACGATAGTATCATGAGAATCATTAATCTAAAAAAGAGGAAGCCTCTCAAAATACAAAAAAATTAATTTAAACCGATTCAATTTCCAATTAATTTATTTCAGAAAGCACTCATTTTTTCTTTAATTTGAATAAAATCTAATCCTTCATTTATACAATTAGATTTTATGCCAATTTTCTCCCCTTTTTTCCTTCTTTCTTTCTTTTTTCGTTTCCTTCTTTTCATTTTTTTACTTTCTTCTTTTTTCTGCCCCTGTGCCCCAACATTAGCTAAGGGCCTGACCGAAAGAATACTTTATATTTATTAAGATAATTATGATCATTTTACAACCCTTTTTGTACTTTGTATTAACTATGTAGTAGGTATAAGACATTTTTTAAAATCCTTTGTTGAAAGCGATCAAGCTTATTTCTCTGATGTGTTTTTGGTATCGCCTTTAATGTAATATATTTGGCAAGTATTATATTGTTCTTATCCAATAAACGGCTGAACTCACTGAACAGACTGGAACCAATTTTTTCGAGGTAACTCTAAAAACTAGGGTAGGTTTGAAGACAGTCAAAGTTTAAAATTTGGATTGTGTACACCTTCATTATTTTTAAAGATGCACCACTTTAAACAGAAAAATCTGCGAAAAGTCGAGCTTTTCAATTTTAAAAAGGAAAACGTAAAGATCCAAATTTGTTCAAAGCCTTAAGTAATGGAAAATTTATTATTGAAATTTCTAAATAAAAATATGTTTTGAAACTATCAAGAAAAAGTTTTGGTTGGACATAAATAGATAAAAGGGATGATGACATATTTTCATTTTAAGAGGGGCATTCACTACAAGTACAAACCCCTTTAACACTCATTTGAGTAAAATAATTAGATATCAATTATTTTCTATCGGAAATTTGCCCAATATACAGCGGTAACCTTGAAAGCTTTGTCTGAATAAATCTGAAGTATAAATCAGATATCCATGATTATTGTTGTGTTGTTTCTCTCCAAAAGTGATGCTTATTTCTTGCTTATAAGAAATCCATACACTTCTCGAGTCAGAAAAATTACTCTATCTTCAATATGTTTGATCAGATAATACTAGAATTTAACTACGTACTGTATCGAATTGCCTCATGTACACTGTACAGTGTACAGTGTACATGTGTACCCGGAGCTTGAAATCTAATAAGTTTACAGTTGTTTCGCTACTTAGCGATTTCCCTAAAGACCTAATATATATACCGTGTGGTATTTCTAAGGTATCAAAGGTACTGTTGTAAATTGGACATTGCTATCTTTCAATGAAAAATCACTTTAAATTAGGTTTACATTCCCTTTAGGAGTTCCGTTTTTACTTTAGACAGTCCCGTTATATGCTATACCATTATCATATAATTGTACAGACAATGTCTATTGTCTATGATTTTTACAAAGATTAGGATATCATATTTCTTATCTGCGAAATTACAACTGACTTTTATTTTTTATAGGAATTTTTAGAACTTTTTTAGGCAACTAACGTTAATTCAGAAATTAAATTACATTTATATTAAAAGAAATGTGAAATTTATAATTAATTTAAGCTGATTAAAGCACTCTTGTTGACTTTAAAAGTCACTATAATAAAATAAAGAGATCTAAAATGGATATTTCTAACATTTATTTAAAAAAACGAGTGTTTTGAAATATTTGCATTTAAGGCGGAGTTAAAATTGGTTGATTTAAAAATTAACAAAGGAATTAATGATGGATATTTGATGGTACTTCATGGGAGTGTTGTAGAGCTTGTTTTGTGGAGTTCGGGTTCTGGATCCAGACTTAAAATGCTCCGGAGTAAGGTTCATTGAATATTTAAAACCGTACTGGATCAGGAGAAATAAAAGATTGATAGTAATCTTAAAACCTGTCCTTGCTCAGGTTTATGATTAAATATCCTGAAGGTCCTAGTCTAACTGATACTGGTTCATAAATTCCGGTGATTGTATAGATACATAATATGAATTAACCCTTAAAAGTGTTGTTGAATGATTGCTACGTAATGACGACTTTTACCGACAACTAAGTTTAGTACGCGGTATATATGCGCGCCTTTGTTAAAACCCTCGAGTCAGGGCCGGGTTCAATCATTCTATACAAAGTCATTATTCCGATCCGTTGAAATGGTTTAAAATGAAGATCAGTTTGAGTTAAGATCGAAGTCTCATCAGATATTGTAGAGATACTTGAGGTATAAAAATTTAAGGGTATAATATTGAGTTTCAGTACGAGAACTTGAAGGGTTAGATTTCTTTTCATCCTTTCCCGTCATACGTCTCCTTCCAGATAGCAGAGGGATAGGCCTATGGGGAAACTGAGCTATTGATTCGCCCTACATACAGATTTTATTTATTTACCCTATATGTTTTATTTGTGATTAGTTTTATTGCTCATACACATTCTTTGAATACTCATGATTTTAAATATTGTAACAGTTTTTTTTACTTTTATAGAATAAACGCTGCATAGAACTCTGTCTTCATTAGTTCAGTTTCTGTTATATTCTTCTCTACACGATGACTTCAAGGTAGTTCTATTGAATGATCAGAAATGTATATCTCTAAGGTTTCTCGATATTCGTCGTCGCCGATTTGTGATGAAACATTTATTCTCAAGATTGCTTGAAAATATCACAAAAGATAAAGAACGGGCTACGCCAGTTTTATCTAAGTAAGGGGATTGAATAAACCCCCCCCCCCCTAGTTCACGAAAAGGGCCCATGTAGCCTGGAACAAGGTAAAGCAAACTTGTTGTTTGCAACACAAAGGTTTCAGAATTACTGCAAATTGTTTTTGCTAGATAAAGGTTTTCAGAATTACAGCAAATTGTTTTTGCTAGATAAAGGTTTTCAGAATTACGGCAAATTGTTTTTGCTAGATAAAGGTTTCCAGAATTACAGCAAATTGTTTTTGCTAAGATAAAAGGTTTCATAATTACAGCAAATTGTTTTTGCTAGATAAAGGTTATAGAATTACAGCAAATTGTCTTTGCTAGACCAAGAGTTAATATTTTTGAATAATCGAAAATAAAGTTTTTCTGGTTTTGAAGAAAGCTTATTGTTTATCAATCAAAGATTTCTCAAAAAAAAATTGGATTTAATTTCATGGGAATTATTACTTCAAGAAGCAGGACAGAGAACTCCAGGAAGATGTAATAAACCCAAACATTGAACACTTAATATTAGAATAAATATTTTCAGCACGGGGCTGACAAATATTTAGAATGGAACCCAGTACGAAACGAAGTAGCCGCCGATCGATGTCGGAATCAGATCGTCATTCCTCAGGAGAAGAATATGGCTCCACTCCCCCAGGTTCACCAGGATTATTATCGGATTTTAATTTGGAAAAATCAGTATCCAACCCTGACCTTAATTATTTAAGGGAAAACATAGTCGAATCCCCTATGGGTGTAGGATTAGGCACAAGGTTACAAGCTAAGCACAAGGATGGTAAAGAAGAACAGTTAGCTAGGACTCTACAAAAGGTTGAGTATTTAAAGAAAGATATAGAGGGATGGGCGCAAATCTGCACAGATGCCCCATCTAACACCTTTGTAATATATGCCAATTATGACAGGTTACAAACGAAGAGAAAGATTGTAGCTAGAGAGGCACTACTAAGGGGAGCGGAGATGAGGGTAGTACGAGAGTTTAGGGACAAGAATGGATAATATAAGAAAGTTAGCTGAAAAAAGGCATCAAAGACAAGGATCCAGTGCTCTGGGTAACCCTCAGCCATCAGTAACACAGGTTGAGGATGAAGTATTTAATGAGGGAGATGGACTGGAGGGTAGGATAACCCACCCCCCCCTTGTAGAGATGCAGGCTCAAATCGAACCAGAGGTAGAGAAGACCCCCCGCCCCGACAGGGCACCGGAGAGATACCCACCCCTCAAACTCCTGAGACAGGTAACATAGAATCAGAAAGCTTGACAGCATCAGTTGAACGAATTATTTCAAGTTTTAATTCGGCCAGGAGAGCAGCAGAAACAGGTGAGGTGATGGAAGACAGGGAGAATATGATAGATCAGATAATCCAATCTATCCACGAAGTAGGGAACTCAATAGCACTCCATACCAGTAGAGGAGAGAAGCAGATTGGTTCTGAAGGTGTAGATCAAAGGTATAAGAGTTTAGAGGATCAGTTAGGGAATCATTCCATTCAACTATCCAACATAGAGACTATGTATGTATCAATCCAGGCTAAATTAGAGAGTATGAGAACGAATCTTACCGAGGTCGAAGGTTCTATATCTCAGGTACAGATATCTCAAGGGGTAACTCTAAGCAGGATAGACCAACTGGAGAGTAGGGTAGGATTGATTGATAAAAACATCAAATCGTATATAGCAAAGAAGTTAGCTCCTATAAAGGAACAGTTGAGTATGCAGAGCCAGGAATCTCATTCTTCCCAGGTAACCCTCCAACTGGAAACCAGTATCAAATCAAGAATAGAGAGATATTGTGAAGAGTTAGGTTTACAAGATTTGCGTAAGGATGTATCAGAGATTAAGGAGCAGCATGAGCTAGGAGAACGGACAGTAGAAACCCTACGAGACATTGTTGTAGAAGTAAGAGACCAGGTAACCCGCAATCCATTATCTGCAAATGTGTCTAGATCCGCTCATACATCTACCCCCTGCCCCCCCGATCCAACCCAGTCATCCAGAGAATGCGAGGTAATAAAAAGTAGTATTGAATGGTCCATAAGATTAATCCGTCAGCTTACAGAGACAAAATTAACACTTGGTTCTGATGTAGGATTAATTAAGAAGTGTAATAAGGAAGACACAGGCAAAGTTAACAGATATGTTAAGGCTTGCGGAGATGATTTACTGTGCTACATTAAATTTCCAGGGGCGGATCAAGAGTTCTGCGACGAGATAAGGTCTATATTAGACAAAGCAGATGATTGGGTTGTGCACGTAGAAAGTATTTATGCAAGATCTGAAGCGCATGCAATTAGTGATGCAAGAGGTGATATTACTAAGATAGGGATATTTGCAAATAATGCTGAGAAAACTGTTTTTGAATTTATTGAAGAAACAGATTTAGGTATGTTAGGATGGGGTACATCTAAACAGAGAGCATCGTTATTATGCAAACACTTGTCTGAAGAAATTAAATCTAGAATTGCTGATTTCTCAGATGATTTTGCAAAGGTTAGAGAATGGTTAATTAAAACCTACGGGAGGGCTGATAGAATAATTGGGGATATTTTGAAGGCTTTAGCTGTGCACCAAGCACCAGCTATGCATGATAAACCAGAAAGATATGCATATTTAGCAAGAATTTCAATGGCGGTAGCAAGATTTGATAAATTGGCTAAAATCCCCGATATTAATATTAGCTCCTTGAATTCGATCCTGTATTGTATGAATACTGTATTTGGCCTTATCCAATTACTCCCTAGCCAGGACCAGGATCAGTTACGGAGAAAGATGACTGAGAGGAACCTGGACTGGGATAATCCTCAAGGAGCAGCAACCTACGCGTTATTCAAGGAGTATTGTGAGACTGAGAGAAATATTGTCTCAGCATATCGAGGTTTGGAGTCAAAAACTAAATCCAAGTCTAAGTCTGTGTTTGTAACCTCAGTGGAGAGGGAGGAGGAGTATGCGGGATCAGCTCAGATACACAATGCAATCTGCACTCCACCGGCCCCCTGGTACCCCCCTGGTAGGAAATTTCCCTGCCCCCTGGAGACCCATGACCATGAGATGGCAGAGTGCCTGGAGTGGTTAACAATGAGTCCTAATGAGCG